TGGGGTTTGCGAGGGTTCAGGGTCTCCCCAACCCCAAATGCTAAACCCCGAACCCCAAACCCCCAACCCCGAACCCCAAACCCTAAACCCCAAACCCTAAACCCTAAACCCCAAACCCCAAACCCTAAACCCTAAACCCTTGTCCGGATCCTTCTCGATGGCCACGCGGAGATCCGACGAGTCGCAGCGGGTCCTGCAGTTGGCAGGGGGCGTCGTGTGTGTGGGACTTGGTGGTTTAGGGTTTAGGGTTTAGAGGGTTTAGAGGGTTTAGAGGGTTTAGGGTTTAGAGTTTAGAGGGTTTAGAGGGTTTAGGGTTTAGAGTTTAGAGGGTTTAGAGGGTTTAGAGGGTTTAGAGGGTTTAGAGGGTTTAGAGGGTTTAGAGGGTTTAGAGGGTTTAGAGGGTTTAGAGGGTTTAGAGGTTTTAGAGGGTTTAGAGGGTTTAGAGGGTTTAGAGGGTTTAGAGGGTTTAGAGGGTTTAGAGGGTTTAGAGGGTTTAGAGGGTTTAGAGGGTTTAGAGGGTTCAGAGGGTTTAGATGGTTTCAAGCGGTTTAGGCGCTTCGTTTCAGGGAGGGTTCAGGGTTTGGGGTGCCCCCGGAGGGTTTGGGGCCTAGGAGGGTTTTAAGGTTCCCTAAACCCAACCCCCACGGTTGAGGGTTTAGGGTTTGGGGTTTAAGGTCAGAACCCTAGAGCCTGCCTCGCGTCATCGATCATCTTCTCCACCTTCCGGAGCAGCAGTAGGTTTGGGTTAAACCCTAACCCCTTAAACCCTAAACCCTACACCTGTTCCGACATCTTGAGGCTGTCAAGAAACCCCTAAGCCCTCAACCCTGAACCCCGAACCCCTCAACCCTCCCTCAACACCCTCAACCATAAACAAAACAAAAAAACAAAACCTCAACGCTGAAAAGCCCTAAGCTCTGAACTCCAAACCCTAAACCGTGAACCCTAAGCCCTAAACCCTGAAACCCCAAATCCTAAAGCCCTGAACCCTAAAACCCTAAACCCTAAAATCCTAAACCCTAAAACCCTAAAACCCTAAACCCTAAACCCTAAACCCTAAACCCTAAACCCTAAACCCCTCGCCCTGGGAGGATGAAAGGAGGGCGGCCTCTTTGCGGCGGCTGCTCGCGCAGCTCTCGCAGCCGCCCATCCTACGAGCCTTTGCCGGTTTCGGTTTTCGGGTTTGGGGTTTAGGGCTTGGGGTTTAGGGTTTAGGGTTTAGGGCTTAGGGATAGGGTTCAAGGGTTTAGGGTTCAGGGGTTTAGGGTTCAGGGTTCAAGGATTGGGGCTTAGGTCTAGGGGTTCAAGGGTTCAGGGGTCCGGGGTTAGGGGCTTCAGGTTTGGGGTGTAGGCTTTCTGGTTTCAGGGTTCGGGTTTGAGGGGGCGGTGTTTTGTGGCCTTGTGGTTTAGGGTGTAGAGTTGAGGGCTTGGGTTTAGGGTTTCGGGTTTAGGATTAGGAGCTTAGGGTTAGGGTTTAGGGGTTGGGTGTAGGGTTTACAGGGTTTAGGGTTTAGGGTTAAGAGTTTAGGGTTTAGGGGTTCTGTTTGGAGTTGGGGATTTAACAAATTCCGGAGGGGCGTCGGCTTGTTTGAGGGTCAGAGCTTCAGGTGGCGGGGCAAGGGCTGCGGGCCGCAAAAGGAAAAACTCCTCGATCAGCCCTAACCCCCCAAATGGGGGGGGCTTCCTAGTTGCTGAGCACCCTGGGCCAAAAAAAAGGCCCAGAGTTCTTAGTGATGGTAGGATTTTATAAGTACCCCACAAGGCGAAAGCTTGCCTACTCAGCTACTAAAATGGTTTCCTACCCTCAACCTCCCAGCCCGAAATCCTGAAACCAGTTCGTGAACCCTACCGAACCTCCAAGCACTTCCCCCCCCCCCCCCAAACCCTAAACCCTAAACCCTAAACCCTAGACCCTAAACCCTAAACCGGACCCTGAGTCCTAGAGACCCTACCCCTGACCCGGGCCCCCTCCCTTACTCCAAGAACCCAAACCCTGAACCCTAGCCCTAAACCCTAAACCCTAGCCCTAAACCCTAAACCCTCAACCGAAAACCCTAAATCCTCAACCCTCAACCCTAAACCCTAGAAGGGTGTCGGGCGCCTCCCCTTCGTCCTTGCCCTGGTCAAAGGCTCTTGAAACCCCCCCACCCCACATCCAGCGGCTGCGACGAAGAAGAACAGCCGTGGAGGGCTCCACATGGGTTTAAGGTTTAGGGTGTAGGGTGTAGGGTTTAGGGTTTAGGGCTTAGGGTTTAGGGTTTAGGGTTTAGGGTTTAGGGTTTAGGGTTTAGGGTTTAGGGTTATATACATGCAAGCAAGCAGCCAGGGGTCTTGGGCGCTTGGGGTATTTAGCTTTGATGTTGTGTTGAAATGTGCTGGGAGCTGTTGAGTACTTGTTTGCCTTCAGGGTAAGAGGCTTGGTGGAATCTAGGATTCAGGTCCTTGGGTGGACTGTGGGAGCTACACTCCCTTACGATCCTCGGCCCAACACCAACACCAAATACCGAAATTTAAGCCCCATAAAAATTGCACCGCTTATCTTGAAACCCAAGAGAGGCCACTGAAAATCCTAGACCCTGAAGACGTGAAACTCTCAACCTAAGCACATCCCATCGACCCTACATGTTACGAGAATCTAAACTCATGCCCTGGGAACTGAACATGGCGCTGGCATGCCCCACCTGCCCCAAAGGGGGGTAGCCCCAAAATGCTCCCACCCTATTAGGTCTTCGATTCCTAGTGGGAGGGGAGGGTGGTACTCCCTAAATCCTAAACCCTGTGGCATATCCCTACAGCCCCTTCGTGTCCACCCTAAGCTTAAACCCTAAACCCTGAGCCCCCTAAAGTTAAAACCCCTACAGCTGAAGCCCTCAAGCCCTAAACCTGAACCCCATTGACTCCATGAAGCCCCAAAAACCCCAACACCCCCCCCCCCCCCGCCCCTGCCCAAACCATCACGAATTCAAGAGCTCACCCCCCACCCCCCCCAAACCCCCAACCCCCCCACCCCACAAAAAAAAGGTATAAATACATAGATGAATAGATAAAGAAAGAAAGAAAAGAAGTTCAGAAATAAATAAATAGCAACACAAATCAGTACAGTACATAATTAAATGCACAATTAACATGCATATATATATATATGTGTATAGATATAGATAAACACGCATAAACGCTGCAAGCTTTTTAGCCATTGTCGGCATTGGGATCGCGCGGAGGGGCCTGGGCAGCTTCAAGAGCTTCAGGCCTCAAAAGTTGGGGACCTTCTGAGGGTGGAACCCTTTGGGCCCTTCGGGTTTAGGGTTTAGGGTTTAGGGTCCGCCACCCTGGCGGCGTGTTGGATGGGTTTGAGGAGGTGAAAACCTCCCTCTTTCCCTCCTTACCCCCCCACCCCCCCCCCAACCCACCCCCCCCACCCCCCCCCACCCCCCCCCAACCCTCCCCCCCCCCCGCCACCCCCCCCCCTGCCCCCCCCCCACCGCCCCCGTCCTGGTGCTACCCCCTACCCCCCCCCCAAACGTTTCACAGAACTCGCTGGATGATCTTCGAACCATGCGAGCGGTTTAGACCTCCAACTATGCTCCAGCGGCATCGGCGGCTTGAGCCGGAGGCTCTTAAATTTAGGGTTTAGGGTTTGGGGTTTGGGGTTTGGGGTTTAGGGTTTAGGGTTTAGGGTTTAGGGTTTAGGGTTTAGGGTTTAGGGTTTAGGGTTTAGACTCCTTAGTATGGTCCCTTACCCTTGTTTTAGGGATGCGAAGTATTCTGCCCTTATTGCTTCTAGTGTGTATCAAGGTGATATAACAAGGGGCCCCAATTAAGGGCGCATGCTTGGAGCCTTAAAAAAAGATGCGGGGTTGGAATTTCTAGGGCATAGAGGGACTTCGAGATAGAGACTTTGTAATAGCAATAGGGCATGGGTTTAGGGTTTAGGGTTTAGGGTTTGGGGTTTAGGGTCTAGGGTCTAGGGTCTAGGGTCTAGGGTCTAGGGTCTAGAGTTTAGGGTTTAGGGTTAGGGTTTAGGGTTTAGGGTTAGGGTGTAGGGCTTAGGGTTTAAGGTTTACAGAAATTGTATAGGGTTTGGGTCCCAAACAGTTTTGACCCAAGGTTCGACCCGAACATGTCATGTTGACTGAAAGTCTTGAACGAAAGTGTTGAACGAGCCGTTCTGCGTTGTGGAACCTAGGTTCGCACTTTTGGGGTGGGGGGCCTGTTACCCTAAACCCTAAACCCTAAACCCTAAACCCTAAACCCTAAACCCTAAACCCTAAACCCTAAGTTCGGGATCCTCCCCTCCAGGGAAGCCTGCTGGAGCCTCTCGGGCCTTTATGTCTTCTGGGCCTTCCTGGCCGCCCAAAGGGCACTTCGGAAAATGTTCATGAAGCCTCGCGAATACAAAGGCTTAAGTAAGTTGATCATTTGGCCTGCCGGGACGTTTTCCGCCTTTATTTAAACTAGTGACTGTGCTTGGTACGGTGCCAGCTTGTTTAAACAAGAAATTGGGGAAATTCAGGACGATGTCACATACCGGGGGCTTTGTGCAGGGGCAGCCTGTTTGGGTTTAGGGCTGATAGGGTTTAGGGTTTAGGAATGAGGGTTTGGAGTGTGCCCTGCCCGAGAAACTCAAGAATTCCCCCCTCCCGCCTCGAGCGCGGCGCCATGTGCGCCAGGGCGCTCGTGGGTGGGGTTGTTGTTCAGCGGCCTGGCCACTACTCCTCTCCCCTCTTAACATTAAACGTCCCCTGTTTAGGGTTTAGGGTTTAGGGTCTAGGGTTTATGGTCTAGGGTTTAGGGTTTAGGGTTTAGGGTTGAGGGTTTAGGGTTTAGGGTTTAGGGTGTGAAAGACCTTATACCTGGTCCATTAACACTCACAAGTAGAGTGTGCGGTGGGGTAAGGGCACGCCGGCAACGCGCCTTAAGGGCTGCAGCTCACTACGCACTCCCCCCACTCCAACACGCAGGGATGGAGTGCTTCCCCGCTGCGGCTCCCCCCAACCTGTCGCCTAGGCCGTCGGGCTTGAGCCACTGCACCGACTGCTAGGCGCCCAGCCATCCCTGTTAATAGCACGCTGCTGTAGCTGCCACGCCTCTTGCGCCGCCCACAGCCCTAGCATGCCCCGTGCCGCCCAAGACCAGCAACCACCAAGCAACCTAAGTGACACCACCCATGGCCAAGCCGCCCCAGAGTCCAGACCACCCCCATAGCATCTCCATAGCATCTCGTGCCTTTGGTCCAGGCAGCCCCCCAGTTCCCGGCAACCCTCAAGAATCCTCCATCACCAGGCCCTGCAACTGCAAGCTTCTTGAGTCCCGGCCACCTTCCACGAAGTCACGCAGCAAGCGTGAACTTGGGCGTCATAACCTGTGAAAGACCTTGTACCTGGTCCATTTTCTATGCCCACCCCCCAACACTCACAAGTAGAGTGTGCGGTGGGGTAAGGACGCACGCCGGCAAGGCGCCTTAAGGGCTGCAGCTCACTACGCATAGGGTTTAGGGTTTGGGGTTTAGGGTTTAGGGTTTAGGGCTGAGGGTTTCAGGAGTTGGTTCGTGAGGAGTGTGCGGCCCCCAGCAGGAACCTGCTCTCCCCCGCGCCTCATCAGCCGGCCCACAAAGTGCGAGACAAAAAGGACCTCAGGGGCGAAGGGTTTAGGGTTTAGGGTTTAGGGTTTAGGGTTTAGGGTTTAGGGTTTAGGGTTTAGGGTCTAGGGTTTCGGGTTTAGGGTTTAAGGTTTAGGGTTTAGGGCTTAGGGTTTAGGGTTTAGGGTTTAGGGTTTAGGGTGAAAGCAGGGCTGGACAATGTCGTAGGGCCTAAGCCCACAATCTACACGTTTGGAGGAGCTGCTGCGGGCTACAAGGAAGCAAGCCTATGAAAAAGCTTTACGCAAACAACCCGCAAAGGCTTGAGGCGTTTGGGTTCTTAAGGTATATAGCATTCAGGCATTTCAGTTTAAGGCGTGTGATCCGTAGGCCCTGCACCAGCCGCCCCAGTGATTGCCACAGCCGCGCGAATGGCCACCGCTCGGGAGCAGGTCCCAGCCTAAGCGCGGAGGAGGTGCGTACACCCCTGGGTGTAGGGTTTAAGGGTTAGGGTTTAGGGTTTAGGGTTTAGGGTTTAGGGTTTAGGGTTTAGGGTTTAGGGTTTAGGGTTTAGGGTTTAGGGTTTAGGGTTTAGGGTTTAGGGTTTAGGGTTTAGGGTTTACCCTAAACCCCATAAACCCTATATACCCTATACTATTCTAACCCACCATCCTGTAGAGGGGGGGTGGACTCAAGGGACAGCCATCGCATATCGCAATGCCTGGAGTATGAACCGTCCCTTCTACCCCTAAACCCAAAACCCAGGGTTTAGGGTTTAGGGTTTAGGGTTTAGGGTTTAGAGCTTAGGGCTTAGGGCTTAGGGTTTAGGGTTTAGGGTTTAGGGTATAGGGTTTAGGGTTTAGGGTATAGGGTTTAGGGTTTAGGGTAATGTTGGACTGGCTTTAGTGAGAAGGGGCACTATTATGCGATGTTCCGGAAATCCTATAGGGGACACCCCATTGTTTAGGGTGGTCCTCAATTATGCGATGTTTGCCGGCCGGGGTTGAAGGGCGGGGGGCCGGGGAGCCAAAAACTAAAAACAGTTTTGAATAAGAAACTCCGGAATTGTTTGGTGTCCAGCCTTATTTAAATTCCTTTTAAAATTTCATTACGAAACAGGCCCCCAAACAATTTTCCAAGGGAGTAGCCCACGAGCTGCCCTGATTCGCTTTAGCAAGTTGTTTCGGTGGTCCGCATTTATGCGGAGCCCCGGCGACCGTGGAGCTACAAAGCCTGGAAAGCTTAGACCCTCAAGCTTCAAGGCTTCCCCTCAACCCTCGACCCCTAGCCGCCCTACCCCCAGCCCCGTCCCAGCCCCAGCCCACACTATTCAGGATCCCCGAAAACCCCAAAATTGTTTGGGGGGGGGGGGGGGGGGGGGGGGGCCCCTACGTACTAAAGCGAGTCCAACATTATAGGGTTTAGGGTTTAGGGTTTAGGGTTTAGGGTTTAGGGTTCAACCATGAAAATTAGAGCACCCTCAAACCCTGAGCGCCCCCCCCCCCCCGCCCGCCAGGCCCAAAGGCACAGGACTTGGCTCCCCCGCGCAGCCAGCAAGACCTGGAAAGCCGTCTTGGTTTGGCACACCGAAACCCTAAACCCTGAACCCTGAACTCTAAAACCCTGAACCCTAAACCCTAACCCTGAACCTTAAGCCCGAAACCCTAAACCCTGATTCCTAAACCATAAAGCCCTGAACCCTTGGGCCTTGAACCCTAGACCTTGAACCCTGAATCCTAAAGGTGCTGGTTTAGGGACTTCAAGAAAGAATTCGAGTGCTGAGGATTGGGAGCAAGGGCTTTTTGAGGGTTCTTAAGGGTTTTCAGGGACTGCGCATCTCGTTCAAGGGTTTTCGGGTTCAGGGCTTAACTGAAGGTCGAGAAGATTGAGATCTCCAGCAACAAACAGAGTCATGTGGGGTGGTCTTCGGGTTCCCTAAACCCTAAACCCTGGACCCTGAAACCTAAACCCTAACCCCTAAACCCTAAGCTGTGAGGGCATCAAGGGCCGCAAGGCTCTGGTTCTTGGTCGCCGGCGGTGCCCACAACGAAGCAGGACACCCCCAAGACCAGGAGCATGGGCGGAGTGTTTGCAGACACCTGCATGTTTAGGGTTTAGGGTTTAGGGTTTAGGGGTTAGGGCTTAGGGCTTAGGGCTTAGGGCTTAGGGCTTAGGGCTTAGGGCTTAGGGTTTAGGGTTTCGGGTTTAGGGTTTAGGGTTTATGTTTTTGGGTTTAGGGTTTAGGGTTTATGATAATCCCTCTTAAGGACTGTCAGTGAAAGGGGACACATCCCAAATTGTAGCGTTTAAAGCTGTCGGGCTTCGGGCTCTTGGCGCCCGAACACCCCAAATCTCTTATACTTCTCGAAGCCCCGGAAGCCTGAACGTCGAACACTAGGCCACTGAAGCCCTCAAGCCCTTGAAGCTCTAAACCCTGAAACCCCTGGACAGAACCTCTAGCCGCTTGAGCCACGGCTCCAACGTCGACCGGAAGATATGGGCGTTGAGGGGGGGTGGGGGTTTCAGGGGGGTATCAGGGTTTGGGGTATCAGGATTCAGAAGTAAACCCTAAACCCTAAACCCTAAGCCCTAAACCCTAAACCCTAAACCCTAAACCCTAAACCCTAAACCCTAAACCCTAAACCCTAAACCCTAAACCCTAAACCCTAAACCCTAACCCTAAACCCTAAACCCTAACCCTGAACCCTAAACCGTGTTGTGCGTTGGGTCGAAGGCTTGGGTCTCTTAGACTTTTTGGTGTTTTGGTGAGCCGGGGGAGCTGCTTCGGCTCTGCTTGGGGTTGAACAGGCCTTGGACGTCTCAATGTCCTCATCCACCGTCAGCTGGAAGTCATCTTCAAAGGGCAACCTCATCGCTCAGCCCGAAACCCCAAAACCCCTAAACCCCAAACCCGAAACCCTAAACCCTAAACCCTACACCCCAAACCCTAAACCCTAAACCCCTAGCCTCATCCCTGGAGGTCATGGTTTGAAGTTTCGGGAGGCATTGGGCTTAGGGTTTCGGGCTCCAGGTTTGAGATTTGGGGGTTTAGGGTTTAGGGTTTAGGGTTTAGGGTTTAGGGTTTAGGCTTTAGGCTTTAGGCTTTGGGGTTTAGGGCTTCCACCGACCATTACGGCCCACGCGGGTTCAACCCCCCAAACCCCCGAAACGCCTCTAAAGACCCTTGAATCCCAAAACCCGAAGCCCTAAACCCTAAACCCCTAACCGCCCCTTAAGACCCCTAAATCCGAAAACCCGGACAAGCCACCCCCCCCCCCTCCCAAAAATGAAAAAAAAAAAAAAAAAAAACGGACCCCCCCCCCCCTATCGCTTTGGAGGAGCAAACCGATGCTGTGGGGGGGTCCTGCCTGTCGGCGGCTCCTAAGGGGGCGGTCCAAAACGTTTTTTGGGTTCAAGGGACCCCCCTAAGACCCCCCCAGACACCCAAAAACTTTCTGGGACCCCTCAAACCTCCTGAGACCTGCCTGCACCCCGAAAACCCCCTCCCGGCTTTCTCAGGCCCCGCCCAGAAACCCTCTTTCCTCCTTTCCTGTCCGCGCACGCAAGCGTTTACAGTTCAACCCTAAGGACCCAAAAAGCCTGAACCTCCAATCCTTTACCAGCACTGTCAGTCTGAACCCTAAGCCCCAAGCCCCAAACCCTAAACCCTAAACCCCAAACCCTAAAACCTCAAACCCTAAACCCCAAACCCTAAACCCCAAACCCTAAACCCTGCATCCAAAGGGCTGACCCGGCACGGCCTCCGCAGCCTCCGAGGTGTTCTGCTGAAGCTCCTTCCCAGGGTTTAGTGTTTAGGGTTTAGGGTTTAGGGTTTAGGGTTTGAGGTTTTAGGGTTTGGGGTTTAGGGTTTAGGGTTTAGGGTTTAGGGTTTAGGGTTTAGGGTTTAGGGTTTAGGGTTTAGGGTTTAGGGTTTAGGGTTTAGGGTTTAGGGTTTAGGGTTCAGCGTTTAGCGATCTGGTTCGTGGCGCCTTGCGTTTGAAGGTTTGGCTTTTTGGGCGTTCGGTCTTTTCAGGGCTTCTCAAAACCCTAAACCCTAAACCCTAAACCCTAAACCCTAAACCCTAAACCCTAAACCCTGAACCCTAAGCTCCATCAGCAGGCCCGCAAAGGTGTCGAGGTAGGTCCGTGCCTGTCTGCAGCTTCTTCATCGTGGGCAAATCCCAAATCCCCGAAGCACGGGACTGTAGACCGTTACAGCCTCGGGTGTTTAGGGTTTAGGGTTTAGGGTTTAGGGTTTTTAGGGTTTTTAGGGTTTTTAGGGTTTTTAGGGTTTTTAAGGTTTTTAGGGTTTTTAGGGTTTGTAGGGTTTAGGGCTTAGGGTTTCGGGTCCTAAACCCGAAATCACGATCCTAAACCCTAAATCGCGGCAAGCCCCGCGAAGCCCTCAAGCAGGAAGCTGCTCAACCCTGAATTCAGCCACTGAAGCCTACGCATGGCAGCCGAACCTTGATCTAAGCCTTCCCACAAAACCCTCAAGCCCCCAAACCCCTCAACCCCTAATTCCTCAACCCTCCCCAACCCTCAATCCTCAACCCTCAACGCTTCAACCATCAACGCCTCAACCCTCAACCCTCAACGCCTCAACGGGTTCAACCCTCAACCCTCAACGCCTCAACGCCTCAACGCCTCAACGCCTCAATGCCTCAACGCCTCAACCCTCAACCCTCAATGCCTCAATGCCTCAACCCTCAACCCTCAACCCTCAATGCCTCAACCCTCAACCCTCAACCCTCAATGCCTCAACGCCTCAATGCCTCAACCCTCAACCCTCAACCCTCAACCCTCAACCCTCAACCCTCAACCCTAAACCCAAACCCTAAACCCTAAACCCTAAACCCTAAACCCTAAACCCTAAACCCTAAACCCTAAACCCTAAACCCTAAACCCTAAACCCTAAACCCTAACCTAAACTACCCCCCCCCCCCCCCCCCCCGAAAACAAAAAAGGCAAACCGCCTCGTGCAACTCCTGGGCCTGCTCCGGTGGCAAGGGGATGCCCTGGTCGTCCACCTCAGAGGTCCCCATTTTGAGAAACCTACGGTCTTCACCGTTTAGGGTTGCAGGGTTTAGGGTTTAGGGTTGCAGGGTTTAGGGTTTAGGTTTTAGGGTTTAGGGTTTAGGGTTTAGGGTTTAGGGTTTAGGGTTTAGGGTTTAGGGTTTAGGGTTTAGGGTTTAGGGTTTAGGGTTTAGGGTTTAGGGTTTAGGGTTTAGGGTTTACGGTTGCAGGGTTACAGGGTTACAGGGTTACAGGGTTACAGGGTTACAGGGTTACAGGGTTACAGGATTCAGGCTTACGGCTTACAGGGTTTGGGGTTTGGGGACAGAAACTCAAGCGTTTCGGGTTTATAGGGTTTAGGCTTTAGGGCTTTAAGCTGTAGGGTCTTGGGGTTCAGGGTTGAGGGTTTGGGGTTTAGGGTTCTGGGTTTGGCTAGGCGGCTAGGGCTTACGATTTGGCGGTGTGGGGTGCTCGGGGTTGAACCCTAAAGCCTTTTTGTTCAGGGGCAGTGCCTGTGTCACTCCGACAGCCCAGAAGAAGGATTTCGGGTTTCCGGGTTTTGCAGAACCCCTCCACCCCCCCCCCCCCCCCAAAAACCTTGGAGTCTGAAGCCTAGGCCCTGCGCCCTAAAACCCCAAAATCCGCACCCAAACGCCATACCTCCCCCCTCCTGCCCCCCCTCCTCGCCCCTCCCCCCCCCCCTCCTAACATCCTAAACCCTAAACCCTAAACCCTAAACCCTATTAACACCCCCAGCCCTCAAGGCTTTCGCCCGGCCACGAGAAGCTGCGAGTGGAGACCCAGCAGCTCGGCAAGAAAGTACTCAGAGTCCTTGGGGTTTGGGGTTTAGGGTTTAGGGTTTGGGGTTTGGGGTTTGGGGTTTAGGGTTTACGGTTTACGGTTTATGGTTTACGGTTTACGGTTCAGGGTTTTTGGGCTGTATAGGGGTTTGGGATTTCCGGCTCCCTGAACCCTAAATCCCAACACCCTCGAACTACAAAGCCCCGAAAACCAAAACCCAACACACTTAAACCCGAAAACCCTCAAGCACCAAAACACTCAAGCCCAAAGCGCTTAAGCCCCAAAACCCTTCAGCCCGAAAACCCTTAAGTGGTAGGGTTTGGGGTTCCGGGGCGCCCCGGACATTCGAGGCAGGCAAGCATCTGGTAAGTCCACATCCAAGCGCAGGGACTTTCCTGCGAAGGGATCTATCGGGCTGCTCGAGATTGAAAACCCCAAGCCCTAAACCCGAAACCCCAAATCAAGACCTCAAACCCCAAACCGGGGAGGGACGTCCGTGGTTTAGGGTTTAGGGTTTAGGGTTTAGGGTTTAGGGTTTAGGGTTTAGGGTTCAGGGTTTAGGGTTTAGGGTTCAGGGTTCAGGGTTTAGGGTTTAGGGTTTAGGGTTTAGGGTTTAGGGTTTAGGGTTTAGGGCTTGGGGTTCAGGGCTTAGGAGCCTGAGGCTCCATTGTAGTAGTCAACGCCGAGCATGGTGAGGCTCTCGTAGAGGCGGAAGGCGACCTGACATTCGCCCCTACACCGTCCCTAAACCCTAAACCCTAAACCCTAAACCCTAAACCCTAAACCCTAAACCCTAAACCCTAAACCCTCCTTAAAACCTAACCCCTAAACACTCAGGCCCGAACGCAAGAAAAACCTAAAACCCTGAAACCCCAAAACCCTAAACCCTAAACCCCTAAACCCTCAACCCTCAACCCTCAACCCTAAACCCTAAACCCTAAACCCTAAACCCTAAACCCTAAACCCCAAACCCTAAACCCTAAACCCTAAACCCCTCACCTCGACCGAGCCCGTGCTGTTCACAAAGGCCAGCTTCCCTTCGATAGGCTCCTGCCACCGCAGGTAGAGCGCCGTGTGCTCCTGCCACGCGGGGTTTAGGGTTTAGGGTTTAGGGTTTAGGGTTTAGGGTTTAGGGTTTAGGGTTTAGGGGTTAGGGGTTAGGGGTTTAGGGTTTGGGGTTTAGGGTGAAGCAGATCTCCTGGAGGTGAGCAATGAGCATCCGCCTTCTGCTTGCCACCTCACAGCTTGATTGGGGATCCCCCGAGCGGGCGTTTAGGATTTAGGGTTTAGGGTTTAGGGTTTTGGGCTTAGGGCTTGGGGTTTGGGGTTTAGGGTTTGGGGTTTAGGGTTTGGGGTTTAGGGTTTGGGGCTTGGGGCTTGGGGCTTGGGGCTTGGGGCTTGGGGCTTGGGGTTTGGGGCTTATTTAGGATTTGGGGTTCGGGGTTTGGGGGTTTGGGCTTTTTGTGGTTTTTTGGGCGGTTGTTGGGTGTTTTTCGGGTGTTTTGGGTTTTTTTGGGGCTTTTTTTGGCGTTTGTGGGTTTGGGGCTTGTGGGCTCATGATGACCAATTTCTTCGCAGGGACTCAGGGAAAGGAACCCCCACATCCCCCTAAGCAGCCCGCGAAGAGATCCTACTAGGGTTTAGGGTTTAGGATTTAGGGTTGAGGGTTGAGGGTTGAGGGTTGAGGGTTGAGGGTTTGGGGTTTAGGGTTTAGGGTTTAGGGTTTGGGGTAGCCCACTTCCCAGACTTCCTTCGAAGAAGAGGCATCACAGATGCTTCGGGGTGTAGGGTTTGGGGTTTAGGGTTTAGGGTATAGGGTTGAGGGCTGAGGGTTTAGGGTTTAGGGTTTAGGGCTTAGGATTTAGGGTTACTCCAGCGCCTCGCTGTTGTCGTGCAGCGGCAGCCAGCTCTGATTGCTGACCTGAAATCCGGAGGGCTCCGCGAGTTAGGATTTAGGGTTTAGGGTTTGGGGTTTAGGGTTTAGGGTTTGGGGCTTGGGGTTTGGGGTCTAGGGTTAGGGTTTACAGTAGGGTTTGGGATTTGGGGTTTAGGGGTTTAGGGCTCAAGGTTTCGGGCGTGCGGTTTGGGGGATTTTGAGGGTTGAGGGTTGGCTTGGTGTGTGGGGGGGGTTCAGGGTTCTTGGGCTTCAGGGCGCGGGGGCGCAGGATTTGCAGGCTACCAGGCTCCAGAGTTGCGCATTGAACCCCACGATTCAGCAGAACACCCGGACCCTAAACCCCAACCCCTAAACCTTACCTGTGCAAGCCTAGAGACCTTAAGCCCTCAACCCTCAAAACTCCAAACCCACGAAACCCCAAAACTTCCAACGTCAGAAGCCTCAGCCCTCAGCCCCCTGAACGCCTTCACCCCTTCAGAGCTATTGGGGTTGAGAGTTTAGGGTTTGGGGTTTAGGGCTTAAGAAGGGTTGAAAGGGCTGAAAGGGGGCCAAAACGGCTTTGAGGGCCTCAAGGCTTTGAAGGATTTTAGCCCCCTAAACCCTAACCCCTAAACCCTAAACCCCTTAAACCCCTTAAACCCCTTAAACCCCCTAAATCCCCTAAACCCCCTAAGTCCCTAAACCCCGCCCAAAGCTTAAGAAAAATCAGCCCACAGGGACCGGCTGGAAGCTCGACGTCGGCTCCTCCGACATCACCCCGCCGGGCTTGGCCAAGGTGGCGCTGAAGTTGGCCCACAAGAAGCGCGAGAAGAGCCTCGGAGGGCTCAAGGTCTTAGGGTTTTTTGGGGTTTTGGGGGTTGGGGCTGATAGCCCTAAACCCTAAACCCTAAACCCTAAACCCTCAACCCTAAACCCTAAACCCTAAACCCTAAAGTGGAGGATCCTCCACGGATGGGCGTCTCGATGCACGAAAAAAGGGCTTGAAGCTGGGGTTGCTGTTCATACATAGTGCTAGCTGCTTACCTGCAGGTAGGTTACCCTAAACCCTCAACCCTTAAACCCTTAAACCCTTAAACCCGTAAACCCGTAAACCCGTAAACCCGTAAACCCGTAAACCCGTAAACCCGTAAACCCTAAACCCTAAACCCTAAACCCTAAACCCTAAACCCTAAACCCTAAACCCTAAACCCTAAACCCAACCCTATGCATACAAACCCAGCGGCAAATCCAAGCCGTCGAGGTGGTGTGCAGTGAAGAGCCTTTCCTGAGGGGCCAAAATCCGGAAAATCTGGAAGGCAGTGGGGGTTTAGGATTTGGGTCTTTGGGTTTAGGGTTTAGGGTTTAGGGTTTAGGGTTTAGGAGTTTAGGGTTTAGGGTTTAGGGTTTAGGGTTGACGGTTTGGGGTTTAGGGTTTGGGCTTAGGGTTTATGATTTGGGTCGTTGGGTTCAGGGTTTCGATTTTTCCAAATGTTCAGCCAGGCTCGTACAGGTCATCCACGCTGCGGGCGTTAGCCGCCTCTTCCAGGGTCACCTGCACCAGGTGCCCCTGAGAGCGTTTCCCCTTGAAGTCCCCAAGCACATTTACCCTAAACCCTAAACCCTAAACCCTAAACCCTGAACCCTGAACCCTAAACCCTAACCTAAACCCGAACGCTCCCCGACTCGGACCTCGCCATAAACTTTGGCATAGAGCTCGGCGTCCCACTCGAGCACCTCGAGGGAAATGTCCTCTGGGAACCTGTGGGCGAACTCAAAACATCCCTAAACCCTAAACCCTAAACCCTAAACCCTAAACCCTAAACCCCTAAAACTGACACCCTCAAGCCTGAGCCTTAAACCCTAAGCCCTTCAAGTGTAGGGCTTACTCCCTCAGCCTCCCCAGAACACACTCCTGGATTGCAAGACCCTACCAAAAGCCCCTCAAAGCCCTATACAAGCTCGAGCCCGAAGACCCCGAGCCCTCAACCCAAGAAGGATCCTCAACCCAAAACCCTAAACCCTGAACCCTAAACCCTGAACCCCAATTAAACCCCAAACCCTAAACACTAAACCCTAAACCCGTAAACCCGAAACCCTAAACCCCCAAGTCCCCTTCTTCCACGTAGGGGAACTTCAGAGCTCCCGTGAGCAGGGCGTCAAACAGCGCCATGGCCGCCCCAGTGGTGCGGGTGTCCGAGAAGTGGGCGACAGCCTGGGAAAGGGTTTAGGGTTTAGGGTTTAGGGTTTAGGGTTTAGGGTTTAGGGTCTAGGGTTTAGGGTTTAGGGTCTAGGGTTTAGGGTCTAGGGTTTAGGGCTTACGGTTTAGGGTTTGGGGGTTGGGGGTTGGGGGTTAGGGGTTTAGGGTTTAGGGCTTAGGGTGTAGGATGAAATGTTAGTGTTTAGGGTTAGGCTTTTAAAGCTTCGTGGCTGGGGTCAGGGAGCTCAGACAGAAATCCCAAAACCCCGAAACCTCCGAAACGCCCCCAGAAGCTCTACACCCTGAAACCCCTAAAACCCCGACACCCAGAACCCCTACGCTCGAAATCCCAAAACCCCTTCCGCAAAACCCTGAGCAAACCTTAAATAACCCTAAACCCCAAACCCTAAACCTCAAGCCCTAAACCCCAAACCCCAAAACCCTAAACCCTAAACCCTAAACCCTGAACCCTGAACCCTAAACCCCAAACAACCCCACTCCAAGGCCAGAAAACTGCGGGCTGGAAGGTCTCACTTTGGCCACCTCCAGCCTAGCAGTGGGTATGCGTGGGGGCTCACAGCTCCTGCGGGTTTATAGGGTCTAGAGGGTCGGTTTAGGGTTGAGGGTTTAGGGTCTGGGTTTTAGGGTTTGGGGTTTAGGGTTTAGGGTTTAGGGTTTAGGGTTTAGGGTTTAGGGCTTAGGGCTTAGGGTTTAGGGTTTAGGGTTGCTCCTAAGGTTTCGGGTTGAGGGCTTTACAAGGCTCAGGGCTCAGTGGGATTCACCGAAAACCCACGATGCCTCTCGGCTCCGAAGAGCCCAAGCCCCAAACCCCAAACAGCCGGCCCCAAACCTTGTCCCCTAAACCCTAAACCCTAAACCCTAAACCCTAAATCCTAAACCCCAAAACCTGAACCCATTAAGACTTTGAGAATGGAAAACGAAAGTATTCCCGACCTTGAAGCTGCGAAGTTGCTGGGCAACCTTGTGAGTGACCACTGGGAGGTCTTGGGTTTGGGGTTTAGGGTTTAGGGTTTAGGGTTTAGGGTTTAGGGTTTAGGGTTTAGGGTTTAGGGTTTTAGGGCTTAGGGTTTAGGGTTTAGGGCGTCTTGGGTGACTTTGAGGTTTTGGGGTTGATGGTTTTGGGGCTTACGGTTGAGGGTTTGGGTTTGGGGTTCAGGGTTTGGAGGTTTGAGGTTTGGGGTTTGGGGTTTGGGGCTTGGGGTTTGGGGTTCCTTT